TTCTGAACATAAAAATATCCAAATATTCAAAATATATATTCAGACACACATTACTTCTATTAAATGTCACATTTTCTCTAAAACAGATTCTATTCAATAAGAAAAAAACTAATTATATGTCTTTAACATCTGCATTGTTTCTCTCAGACAGCAATGGGATTAAACTATAAGCAAATTGAGACTTTTGTCTTCATCTTCTTAGACTGAGATAAAACACACAAGAAAAATAGTCTCATATACTCTTTAAAAAAGGTGCTTAAAATATTCTTCACAGCGATGCCATAGAAGAACCATTTATAGTTCCACAAAGAACCATTCAGTCAAAGGTTCTTTAAAGAATCATCTCTTTCTTACCTTTTTTATAATCTGAAGAACCTTCTTTCGCCACAAAGAACTTTTGTGAAACAGAAAGGTTCTTTAGATGTTAAAGGTTCTTTATGGAACCATTTAGACAAAAAAAGGTTCTTCTATGGCATTGTGAAGCACCTTTATTTTTAAGAGTGTATTCATGTCTCAGCTAAAATCTCAGCAATTTCTCACCGATTTGCAAATTATACCATATTAAAATGGTATTTGTCTGCTTGACAACTGCATTTTATTTCAAGTAACAAATATGGTTGGTTTTATGGTTTTAATTTTAGTTAACTACAATAACCCTGAGAAAGTCTTTAGTTCAAAGTCTTTAATTTCAATATATTTCTCATGAAATTCTTCCAACACTAAATTATCTTAGATATGATATCCATATTAGCCCTTTTACGGACAACAAGTGTCTCACTTGAGTCTCATTACTTTTCTCTTAAGGCATTTTCGTTACATTTCATGTTACTTAAACATATTTGGTATGAAACCTGTTTTAAATGAATTGACAAAAACATGATAAACTCAGCTGGATGGCAACATATGTGCACAAACAAACCTTTTTCAACAAAATAGTTGGCGTGCAAAACCAAGCTGTAATATTTCATGATAATAAAGACACGCAAGATATTTCACATTGACCTTTTCTCAAAGCAAAGTGCTGAGTGTGCAGTTCACCCCACTCTGTCATTTAAGCTCAGTCCAACAAACACTTATCTTCCTCCACAGCAAAGAGCCCTGAGTGTGTGAGTGTGAGTGAGTGTTCATGTGTCTGCATGAGTGTGCATAATATACTGTAATTAATCACAATGCAGCCTGTTTGACTCCAGAGAAATGAGAGATGTCTGGTGCTGTCTTGCATCTCCACATGTCAGACTGCTCAAGGACATCTAGAACTATGGACACAATATGCATATTCATTTTTGCAGTTTTAAATTCTGCTTATTTTGTTTTGGATATGTCATTCGATGCTGAAATCTTAGTTAATGTGATTTTTATTGTAAAAATAGTGACATCTCTCACTCTGATTCAGATTCAATTAGAATAAATGCCTCATTCATGAAACACAAACAGAATTTGAACAGCTCATAAACCTATTCTTAGGGTAATTTGATGCAACAGTTTGCATTGAAATGGTTTCATGAACAATCTACATTGAGATTTCTTCTCCATGAATGAGGCCCATTGATTGTATTTTATATGGATGGGGCTTCATAACTGCACAGAAGGCCTGACCTGATAGAATCTTTCTCCACCCTGCCGACACAATTTGTCCTGCTATGGGCCGCTGCCTTAATCTGTGGAGAAACATGACAAAATGATTGGGGGGAAAACAGCTCACTGGAAAATCTCTGCATCTGCAGAAGCTATCTGTGCAATTGCAGAGTAAATGCCAGCAAGTTTGAAACATGTCATTGAATGTCAAAATCCCACCTTCTTTTTTCACAACTGCTCCGAGGGATAAGCACGTAGTGGAAGAAACGTCAAAAGAATATGTCAACTGTAACTTTTCATGTAAATAGAGATAAGCTCCAATTCGTTTATTGACTCTTTTAAAATCAAAGACCTGTTGATGCATGTTCCTGTATCAGAAAAAAGTCAGCAAAATATTTTAGAAAATACTGCCCATCAAAGAGGGACACACACAGCAGGCATATTTTTAATCTAACTATACACCATTGTTCCTTTTATAATATAACAATTTAGTTGAAAGTCACATCATTCTACACTCCATACACCATAATGGCAAAGCAAAAAAAACAGGTTTTTAACATCTTTGCAAATTTATTAAATAAAAAACTTAAATGGTTCCATTGCATAAGTATCCATCTGGGACAGTTGAAATTTAGCTCAGGAGCATTCATATTGCTTGTGGATGTTACTACACTTCAAGTGAAGTTAACCTGTGGCAAATTCAATTGAATGGGTATGATTTGG